AAAATGGAGCAATCTACGGGACAATATTATACCGCGATTGCTCCATTCTTTAATGGCTTGATATTATGTCCTCTGTTTCCACCATGTTTTTGTGAGTGTTAGAAAACCGTGGATTGACGGAACGGCGGGACCTGCGTAACAGACTCAGATAAAAAATCAATACTCTTTTATTAAATTAAAGACATGATTTATTTTTTATTTAATTGCGATGATTGTCACGTAACTTTAGCGTCTGCATGGGTTAGAACTAGTCCCCTCTCGACTTCTACTTTGCCGCGCATTCCCCCGAAAAGTAGAAAATGGAGAGCGGCGTTGAATGCGAAGTAAGTTTTTGTCTTTTAAATAGAGGTTTTGGTCAATCACGTGCCGGCGCCCCACAATACAGCTTGGACTGCCTGCGGTTAGATGGCAGAACAATAGATTCCCTTTTCTCTCGGGGATTGAATTCTTTTTCATGTAAAACGTTTTYTATTGTTCGTGCCATCTAATAACATGGCTGCCGTCATGTGATGGTGCAAAACCTCTATTGGTATTTAGTTCCAGAGGAGCTTARCTARATTCTCGACRATTTTTAAASTAACTTCTCTATCTTTGTAAAAAAACATCTAGCCATTGTCCTTTGCTTAATAGACTTCAGTTTGATTTACTATATTGCACGTACCGTTTAGCTTTCTAAGCGCATCCCACATGGAAAGGAGTGAGTATGCGCTCAAAGTCATCATTGTCACAATGAATATTTTTGAGTTTGCTGGTCATAGCAAGGGGCTAATCATCTACGGTCTAGGGGCCGACTAACCTCTCCCTTAGGCCTCGGCCAAGCTTCCTGATCAGTCTGTAATTCTTCGGATAGCGGTGTCGGGGCCGAAATCTCCGGCGTAGCCGTAAATGCTTCGCGCTGCCATACGAAGGTTCAGCACTCGATGTCTGGAAGTATGGTCCTTTTTTGTAACCAATCAAAAAGTAAAATTATTAAAATCTTCACGTTTCCATAGCATGTGTTCGGCTCAGTRAACAATAGATATCTATTGACTTTCTAGCGTGTAATTTGTAATTCTCTGACCCTTTTATAGGGGATGCCATTTTTGGAAATCACCGGCGTGTCTTCCATGTACAAGGAAATGATTCGCTTTTCTCGCCTTCTATACTGATACTAAGTCAGTGTCGGATTTTAAATCAGATGCTTTGTATTACAATGGGTTAAGAAGGGGAAATGAAAGACAAGATGGTTTAGTGCAGGCCTCTTTACAATTAGATGGCTACCAAAGAATCCTTAGCCAATAGACGATGGAGCCGGTCGGGGCGGATACACTTGACGAAATTCTAAGTTTTCACGTGACTCCATCTCTTTATTACTTTTATTATTTTTATGATATTCTTAATAACAGGTTTATGAAAAGAATCTAGATGTCGGAAGTCAAAGAAGCCATTTGCCAGTTAATCGTCGGAAATTCCGGTCTAAAGCCAAGGCAAGGATATAATCCATTTTTCTCAACTTTCTACTGATATCAAGTATCTGATTTTAAATCAGATGCTTCATAGCAGTATTAAGCTGAAAAAAGTACAAAACCAAGATGATAGAGTGTGCAGCCCTTTTTGGAATAGTACGTAAGTTTCATATTTCCCTACGCCATCTTGCATGAAAGGAATCGGTAGAGCATTCAATTATTTCTATAATGCAACACGAAGAAGAAGGTTCATTATCTGGTCAGCCATCCAGGTACCAACCAAGCCCATTCTGTACGTATTCAGATTTCACGTTTAGTATAGTCTCCTCCGCAGCCTTTCTTAGGGAGCGTTGTGTGAAGAAACTAATGACTGCTGCAGGGAAGACCACGTTTAGTCCAATGAGCCACGTTTAGTATAGTCTCATCCGCAGCCGTTCTTAGGGAGCGTTGTGTGACGACACTAAGAACTGCTGCAGGGAAGACTGCGTTTAGTCCAATGAGCCACGTTTAGTATAGTCTCCTCCGCAGCCGTTCTTAGGGAGCGTTGTGTGACGATACTAAGACCTGCTGCAGGGAAGACTGCGTTTAGTCGTCCAATGAGCTCCGTCTAGTATATTCTCCTCCGCAGCCGGCTTTGGGAGCGTTGTGTGACGACACCTAGAGCTGTTGCAGGGAAGACTGCGTTTAGGCCAATGAGCCCCGTTTATTATAGTCTACTCCGCAGCCGTTTTTAAGGAGCGTTGTGTGACGATACTAAGAACTGCTTCAGGGAAGACCGCGTTTTGGCGCAGCTCTAGGGAGTCGAACTGAAAGCAAGTGAAGGCAATTAAGCAAAGATCTCAGTCACTCTCAAAAATTATGCCTATTCAGCAAAAATCTCAGTCGCTCACAAAAATTATGTCAATTCAGCAAAAATCTCAGTCACTCACAAAAATTATGCCAATTCAGCAAAAATCTCAGTCACTCACAAAAATTATACCAATTCAGCAAAAATCTCAGTCACTCACAAAAATTAGGCCTATTCAGCAAAAATCTCAGTCAACAATCACCAAAACGTCAATGTCAATTCTACGGAAGCTTCTAGGGGACAAGCGAGATGCGAGTTGGTCAAAAAGACGAGATGCGAGTTGATTAAAACTATGACGTCATTCTTGTTTGCTAATATTAGCTGGTTTGCGACAAGATGGCGTTGTTGGACTTGATTATGACAAGCCGATTGTAGCAGGCATTTTTTTATCCCATTTAAAAGCAAAAATTTTACATTAAGGATTTTTAACACGAAATAGTAAAATATTAAGAATTTTCACTATATATAACACAAACACAAGAGATTCTTAAAACACATTGTTTTGCAAATAAGGTTCAACGCAAGCCTTAATGTACTTTCAGAGTGAGGAATGATTCAGGAATAATAAAACGCGTGCGCGCGTCTCTGTACCGTGGGAGCTGTACAGCAAGAGAGAAGCAAGCTTAGGAATACGAGGCGTAGCTGAGTATTTATTTTGCTTCTCGAGTGCTCTAGAGATTCCAGAGTGTTTATATCACAGTACAGAGACATAAGCAGCCGTCTTAAAATGTTTTTATAAAATATTTTGATTTTGATGGTTTTCATTTTGCGAGATCGTGTCTCTGTCCTCAGCTGATATAAACACTGTAGCCAGCGAATCAGCGCGCGTTAAATCTCAATTTCTTTATAATATTGATTATAAAATACCAGTTATAAATCTCGCGTTCTGATTGGTTGTGAACGCGTGCTTTATGAGAGAACACAGCACACACGCGCACTCTAATAAAGAAATAAAAAGTTTGTACGAATCTCTTTGTACGAAAGATTAAGATAATTTTTTCCCTCTATATTTAATTGATAACAGGTTTGTGGAAGTAATCTAAATGAGTGAAAGTTGAGGATGCCACTTTTAATTGTTGGACGTTGTCATGGTATTCTACGAGGAAGTGAGTAGCTTTCTCAGTTCTACTGATACCAAGTATCCCAG